GACAATGAGCAGGGCAAGTATTGAGGACATGTCACAGCCAGCAGCCCAGGACTATCTTCCCTGTCCCAGCACGTTGCCCTTGGCCTCTTCCTAACAAAGCATCCTGGACAGAGTCAAACCTCATTAAGCCAGGGCTGATGAGTTAGTGAGAGCCCCTGCCGCTGCCCACACTGAACAGAATCACCTTGTATGTTCTTTTCTAATGGTAAAAGTTAACAAGCAAGTTATAAACACCCTTTTCAGTGCTGGAACCCAGGGCCTTGCACTCATCGAGCAAGCACTCTATCACTGAGCCACGCCCCCAGCCTCAGAACATTTTAACCTAATTCCAGGCCCCAGGTATGCCCGGTATTGAATACACATTTGGGTCCTTATCTTTTTAACGTCACATGTGCACATCAACTGTCCTGCAGGAAAACTTGTAGACTTCGGTAATGCAAACTTCTTTAGTAAATTATGTTCTGTAACATGAAAGCTGGTTTTAGGCAAGGAAACCCTGCCAGATCCATTATTCTGGAAACAGATGCACCCTGCCATACCTCCACCAAACAGCCCCTTTGGGGTTTCATCTTATTGGGCAGGGCTGGCACGCGCTCCTTTTGCAGAGGTGAGAACGTGTTTTCCGCTATTGTCTCATCTATCAAATCAATCAAATCCCTTTTAATCAAGATGTACAGTAAGGCAGCCACAGGTAACTTCAAAGGAATTGATTTCCTCATGTCTTAAAGGACAATGAATACTCCCTGCACGCGATCTACATTAAAATCCTTTCTTTCCCCTCTGCCTTCACCTCCTGTAGCCAACCCTGCCCCACTCACCAGCCCTTGCCCTAGCCTCTGGCCAGCCTTCTCTATTCACCCTGCCCTCTGAATTTTACTGCTCAGATTGACCCATCGGTTTTTTTTTTTTTGGTACCAGGAATTGAACTCAGGACCTTGCGCTTGCCAGGCAAGCGCTTATGTCACTGAGCTATCTCCCCGGCCCGATTAATCTTTCCCAGCAAGAATTGGACCTTTTGCAGAGGAGAGGGAATGGACCCCAGGCTTTCCCTCGGGGTTTGCTGAATGTATTAATAGATTCCAGCTTGCATGATGTATCCATTTGAGTCCAACTTCAAGAGCAACCTTTGCCTGAAAGTAGAAGTGATTAAAATTTGAAGCAACAATGTACTAATGAAGTCAAGTTCATTCTGGAGTCTCTCCTGCATTGGGCCGCCTGGTCCATCCCATCCCCCTCTTCTGAGCCCCTCCTGCAGAATACTCCACAGAGGCCCTCCAACGGCCAAGAGCAGTGCTGACCAGGCCCAGAGAGCTTCCCTTCTGTTCAGTCCCACAGTCTGCTCCACTCCAGCCCTCCCATGCCTGTGCACCCTTCCAGGTACCCAAACCAAAAGCTAGGCTCGCTCTGCCACTCTCATTCCCACACGCAGTCTGCTGGAAAGCCTTCAAAATACATCCTGAGTCTCCCTAGCCACCAAGTCCTCCGCAATGACCCGCCATCTTGTTTTGAGACAAAGTCTCATCATGTAGTTCAGGCTGGCCTTAAACTCACGATGTAGCCCAGGCTGGCCTCCTGAGTGCTGGTTACAGGCATGCGCCACTATGCTCGGTGTCATTCCTTGCTCAATTATAGCGCTTGTTGAAGTGGTGTCCCTGCTCCTGTCTTTCGTTTTCTAGGGGCAGTGGAAGCACTTTTCAAACAGATCTTGTCACTCTTTTGCTCTCACCCTCCAAAGCCACAGAGCGGCAGGTGTGTGGCGGCGCTGAAGGCTTTCCCCATCTGACCCTTACCCCTGCCTGCACCTCCCTCACCGAGACTGAGGGCTCTAACAGCAGACAGGCTCCGCAGAGCTGCTCGCACCCTAGGACCCCGCTGCCATTGAGCTAACTGTCCAACAGCACTACTTTCCAGGCTGGGACTGCTCAGAAAGCAGAAATAAAACGTCTCCAAAGACAAGATCTTCACAGGGCATCAAGGAGATATAAAAGGATCGCTTTGTGTGCCTTTAAAATGCCGAAGTGAGCTTATCCGTATTCTTTACGAAGTCCTTGCTGTGAGAACTCAACTTCCAACATGCACAGGACATTATGGGCATAAACTAGTGTGATCTTAGAGACACAAGTACTTGGAGAATCCCCTATTAAGTGAGGACACGAGAGACTTAACCAGTTATACTGAGTTAAAGAGAAGGCCAAAATACAACCAAGCCCACTGCCTGAAGCTTATGCATTAGCTATGCACGTCAGTAACACCTTTGCAGATAGTACAGAGAACAGGTATGTTTATGACAAGGAATCAAACAATGTTAAAGGTCATCTGTGAACTGGTTTAGGTCTCATCTTTCCATTACATTTTCCTGGATTACATCAAATTCTAAAGATGCTGAAAAATGCTGAGGAATTAGAATTCTTGGGGTGGCAGTTCCTGCAACCACAAATGGAATGAACCAGCATGGCACTTCAAAAACCTAAAGGTGAGCACAATAGCAGTTATCCTTTTGTGTCTAATACTCGACACAATCTTAAAATAGTTCAGAACACTGTCACCTGAATCTTTGTAAGTGAAAAAACAGCTGGTTGGAAAGCGTCACTCAGCCACATTGAGGGCTGCAGAAAAGAGGAGTGGGAAAAGATAATCCTGGGTAGAAGAGCTGATGTGATGTTACACTGCTGTGATCAAGTGGCACAAGGGCCGGCTAAGGACGGCTAAGCACACTGAGCAGAGATGTACTTGAGCTGAGGTAGCAGGCAGAGGTCAGCCTGGAGCAGATGATCTGCCTCCACCGGAGGGGGTTCACACCCATCTCAGGCAGGGCAAGCCCTGCTACTCACAGCCTTCCTCCCAATGAGACCGCTCCCAGACCCATAACCCTCATCCCTAGGGCTGACACCACTGTAGGGCCAAGCTTTGGCAGGAGGCAAGATGCCGATTTGCTTCTACTGGGCTCAGGAGCAAGTCAGAACCCTGAGGTTGAATCCATTCTCCTTTTATCATACTGTAGTAGTGTTTCTGTTACTCTAGGTTCGCAAATAAACTTGAGCTTGTAACTAGAGGGAGAGCAATCAAATTCTGCAGGAGACAGGTAAGTACTTTAGCCTCTAAGGGCCACATGGCCTCTGTCACAACTCAATTCTGCTGTTATCATGAGAGAGTAGCCAAAGAAATATAAACAAGCGAGGCTATGTTCCAATAAAATTTTATTAATGAACACTGAAATTTCGATTTCATATACTTTTCTCATGCTACAAAATATTCAACTTTCAAAAAAATCATTTTTTTAACCTTTTAAAATCATTCTTTAGCTCACAGGATGTACAAAAACAGACAGTGGACAGACTGGCCCACTGACGTTTGCTGACTCCTGGGCTAGAGTTGAGACTTTTTTTAACTTATTCTTCAACATGCAGAACATGACCTGTTACCTGAATAGGCCATAGTGGTATCACTACATTTACTTCAGCTGAGTTATTACTTTACAGTACTCACTTCAGTCATTCATTTGGCACCTATTCAGATTTGGGTTCTGTGCAAGATCCTTCCTTTGGACACTGAAGGATATCAAGACATGGCTCTTCTGTAAAGTTCTAATACCATCTTCTCAGATCCTGACACTATGCTTCTCATAGTATCAAAAAAGACAGCCAAAAGTGCATTTAAATAGCAGAAATCTTGTATGAGATACTTGCATGAAATCCCTAGGGCTGCTATAACAAATTACTACAAACTGGGTGGCTTGCAACAATAGAAATTCACTGTTTCACATCCTAGAGGACAGAAGTGAGAAATGGAAACAGCAGTCAGATTGGTTCTGAGTGGTCTGAGGAAGGCTTCAGGACTCTCCCCTTGTATTTGTGGCTCCAGCAATTCTCAAGCCTTCCTTGGCTGCAGACACAGTGCTTGCCTCTCCTGCCATCCTCCCACGGCTTCCACTCTGCATCTGTTTCCCTTTCTTTGCTAAGGAACTGTCATTGGATCTATGGTCCACCTGAATCCCAGATGATGTCACCTCCAGCTCCTGCACTTCATCTGCAAATAAGGTCATAGGTACAGGTTCCAGATACAAGTCAACTCATTACAGTTCTCTTAGATGTGCAGACAGACATGGCCCACATTACCCAGAAGATTTCTTAAAAGAGGTAACATAAGCTGATCCCTGAAAGATGAGAGTTGGTGTTCGTCAGATAGACATGAAGGAGAAAAAGGAAGTCAGATTCAGGTTCCAGTGAGATCAGTTATGGAAGCAACACCACCTGAATGAAACAAGCTGTACACAGCAGGCCATCAAGCTTGGCTGGAGGACAGGGTGTGAAGCAGGAGAGCAGTGAGAAGGCGGTACGATCTGCTCTTGAAGGGCTGGGTGCCACAACCTGGCACTGTGAGTTCAGAAGGCCGAGGGCAGGCTCTGGGAGTCTCTTCCACGGCTGACCATCTCAAGTGTATCAGACCTCACTCAGCTCAGGTGCTCTTGTCACTGAGCCACTGGCATGGCTGGACCAGACAGCCTTCTAGCAGCTTCTCCCAGCCTTAAGATTTGGATTCCACGATTTAGGTTTCATGACCTAAAGGTACAAACACAGTAGTTTTCTCCCACTAGTGATCTCACGACCTCCTGCTTTCTTCATGGAAGCCCCTCTTGTGCTCGCGCTCCTATGAATTTTAAGGGCTGCTCTTCCTGCCACACCACTTTGCTTTACACTGTTGCCCTTTCACTCCTGAAACTGAAAATCAAGCAAGTTGGCTTTCTTTCTACCACTGTGTCTGTACAAGAGCAAATCAAGAACAGAAGTCAGGTTGGTATCCCTGGTCTTATTATACACAGCAAAGTAAAAGCAATTAAAATTATTTACATAGACAATGGGAGAAAAATACCATGGAAAAGACACTGCTATCTATTCTCTGAAAAAAGGAGAAATTATGTAATGTGTATATGCATTCCATAAAAATATACACAAGGGAAACCTCAGAAGCCTAAAAACAAAACATCAGTAAACAAGCCACACTTAGAAAAATGAAAGCTGATTTTTATTTTATCACCAACAGCCATTCTTTAAACATGAACATGCATACGTAATATTCTACGCACACATCACAGTTTTTAACGTTAGTTAATAAAGGTTAAACACACAACATACATCCTTACAAAAAAGGTCAAAATGCAAACTTAAAACTTTAAACAAAAATCTTACTAATTTAAAAAAAGTTTGTGTTGGGTACCATTTGTACAATGCAGTTAATTTAAACATTTTCATTTTGGTTGCACATGAAAAAAGCGGCAGTAGAAAATAAAGTCATTGAGGGTTTTTAAATAGCAGAATAGGCAGTTTTGCCATGCAGGAGAAGCAATATTAAATATTAGTTTTCAAAAAAAATCCACATTTAAAAATATTTAGTTCAAGTCACGGAATTTTTCTCAGTAGAGACCCTAATGCAATGCATAATTAGCTGCCTTAGATGGCCTGTCTGAAAGGACACTCTCCCTTCAGAATATAACTGTACTGATTTTGGCACAGAAAAGAAGTCGAGAACATGATTAAAAAAGAGGGAAGAGGAACAGAGGAAAGAAATAAAAGCAAGAGTAAATGAGATAGTAATTGCAATCACTAAAAAACTGTGCATTCTCAGTCATTGCAGAATACTGTCTTCTGTCTACAGCAGGGGCTTACTCCAGAACTGTTATTGCAGCATGGATTTTATTTGCTTGGAGGTAGTCTCATCATTCAAATGTTTTGTTGTGTACCTAAAAGACAAACACTGATCAAATTTAGGGAATTAAAATCTGCACTGAGTTCTGTAACTGACAAATGAGCAACTGGTCAGTCAAATCTCACAGAAAGCTGCCTTCTCACTGAGGCTTTACCCGAGCAGGTTCTGCACAGCTCATCCTCCCCACCACCTAGGAGAACGGGCAACTGCTGTTTCATTTAGTCCTAACTACCATGCTGAAATGACTGAGTAAATATCACATTAACAATGAGCAACCTCTCACTTAAGAGAAAAGTAACTGCTCTATCCGAGAAGTCGGCCACACATATTTGAATGGCAGAGTTAAGTAGCTGTAACACAAACCCTGTGGCCCACAAAGCCCAAACGTGTTTTCACTTTCTGGCCCCTTACTGGCTCTGCTCTACTCTGTATTAAAACAGCTCTACTACTACAGCTCACATCCCTAAAAAAATCTGTTCTCTGAGTGCCTTAAACTTCCAGGCAGGTGTAGTTTGCTCATGCACACAAATCCAAACTAAGAGTCCAAAACAAACACTCTAATAATAGAATGATTATGAAGATTCACCACAGATTTCTTCAAATACCAGAACTCCAATGAGCAAGCCTACTGTGTCAGGCACTATTCTAGAAGCTTCCCACCTAGCAGAGGGAGAAAGATAACGAGGCAGTAACCTTACAGAAGGGGTAACCCTGGAGCAAAAAGGACAGTACTAGACAAGGCCACAGTGACAGGGAAAACCCAGCTCACGTGGACATTTGGAAGCCACAGTGCCTGGCGATTAAGTGTGATGAAAGCCACTGGAGGATATAAGCAGGGGAGTGTTGTGACTGTTTTAAAGGCTCGTTCAGGCTGTTGAGGGAGTGTAGTCGGGAGCAGATGGAGACCCGTCATGGAGCATCCACTGAGAACAGAGAGAGAGATGCCCAAGGCTTTGGACCACATTAGTAGCGATGCTTGACTGTGAGATATACTCTGGAGATAATTCACAGATTCATTTAGTTTACAAAAATTTCACTTTTTTTTATGCTGCAAACTGAACCCAGGCGTTGTGCATGGCAGTCGAGTGCTGCAGCACTCAGCCACCAGCTCAGCCCTGTTTCTATTTTCAGGCAGAGTCTCCATACATTGTCTACGCAGCTTTAAACTTGTGTCCCTCCTGCCTCAGCCTCTGGAGTACGTGGAATCACAATAAGCAACACTGCTTGGCCATCCCATATACAATCTTCATGGACTATATCATTTTAAGTAGCAACACAGAGGTGATCTTTCTGTGTTAAAGAAATTTAAACTATTAGGCTCATTTCAAATAAATTAAAAAATTTAACTTTTAAAATTTTCCTGTACTCAAGTAAATCTCTGGACAGGCAAAGAAACAAACATAAGCCAGGTGCAGTGATACATAGCTGTAACCACAGCACTCTGGGAGGCTGAGGCAAGAGAATCCAAAGTTTGAGTCCAGCCTGGGCAACTTAGCAATGTAGCAAGACTCAATCTCAAAATATAAAAAGGAAGGGAGGGAGGGTGGAAAAAGGAAGGGAGGGAGGGTGGGCTGGGGATGTAGCTCAGTGCAGTGGTGGCGAGCCTACGACATGCGTGCTACAGTGGGTTGTTTGTTATCTCTGAAAGCTCTAACAGGTTCGACATCACTGGGTTAGCGCAAAGGTCTTGGGTTCAGTCTTCAGTTGTGGGAGGAGAGGGACAGACACACACACATACTTATTAAGCACCTGACATTAGGTACTCTCTACAATGATGCTTCCAAACTCTTCTCTTATTAGTGAATACACACTGGAGAGCTGGTATAAAGTTAAGTGCTCAGTAAGTGTTGTGGAAGGAAGGAAAAGTAGGCTGCCAAGTTGAAAAGAAAAATCCTTACAGGAATATTTATAGGAAGGGCAAAGTGATGGGGCAAAGAAATAACTGTTCTGTCTTACCTACATAGATAAGGAATATATAGCTACATGTAATCCTACTGATGTCTTAACACCCACTGCTTTCTTTTTCACTATTCTTCAGTGAAGAGCCAAAGAATGTGTACAATGTAATCTACTGAAGTTAGAAATATTACCGCTCAGCAGTGTATTGTAATATTCAAAGAGTTGCCAGTGCATTCTTCTCTACCCTCTCTCTTCTGTGAGATGCAAATGTGCTTCTAGCAGGTCTTAGAGCCGTCCTTGAACACAGCCAATCCCAAGAGATTGGGCTGTGCTGGGCTAGAGATTGTAGCTCAGTGGAAGAGCATCCCTGAGTTCAATCCCCAGTACTAATGAAAAAAAGGAGGGGAGGTGTAAACACCAAGCTATGGGTGAAATAGCTTGACACCGTATGGATTTCAATTAAGTTCTTTAACCCTTCTAATGTTCATTTGGAACAGATCTACTTTATACAGGGAATCACTGCTTAGAATCACATTTCATAATCTTAATAATGATTCAAAGGTGTCTGTCATTGAGCTGAAATAACACAGACTACATTTTGCTTTATGACATAAACATATAAACTACACAAACACTTATTTTTGTGTTTAAATCCCAAATAATCAAGAATGGAAAATCATCCTTTAGGTTAGGAAAATTATACTACCAATTAAATCTCTATACGCAAGACATTCTAAAGTGCTAAGATTTTTCATTTAAAAATATTCTAGTATTCTTAGGAGCTTCAGTAACTACCTGAAGATCTAAGAAAATACATGAAATTAATGACTGCTGCATTTTCATTATAAGACATGCACAAAAACAATACAGATCTGTACTGATGAACCCAGAAATTAAGACAACATGAAGAGGAAAAAGCTAGTTATGAAACACTTTGTACCGGGGCTGGGGATTTAGCTCAGCGGCAAAAGCGCCTGCTTGGCAAGCGCAAGGTCGTGAGTTCGGTTCCCGGTACCGGAGAAAAACCAAAAAAAAA